GTAACTTTAAGGTGAGACGTTATTGAGTTTCTATACCTGTTTGTGGCTACCAGGATCACACCCAGGGACCCACACAAACAAGCAGCACAACGCTCTCCCACCGAGCACAATCCCCTGTCTTCTACCCTGATTTTTAAAAGTTGAAACCCAAGTGACGTAGACTTGGTTCTCTAAAGAGTTAAAACTGTGTGGGCACGATGAACCCTGGGGTCCTCGTACTCGGCATAAATCAATGCTCTCTTCTCGTTTCTCTGGTAAAAATCACTCCCCTCCCTTCGGTAAGGTAACTATGGGCTGTCACAACTCTGAACCACTTAGAAGACTAATCAAGCAATAGTTAATGCTCAAAGAAATATTCAAAATACAAACATCAAAAAAATTAATTTCTCTTTGTCACTGCTTAGGTGATTAACAAATGTGAATAAACGTGGTCCGCCAATCATGAGGTATTCGATCGACTGAAAGAGTGTTTCCGAAAACTTCTCAGGGGCTAGAATCTGGGATGAGTGGTGGTAAATTTGGGGAGGGGAGGCCTATCTGTTCTATTTGTTCATTTAAAGGGGGTAGATTTCCAAGGGGTCAGGGTAAGTTTTCTGAAAGGGGGGCAAGGGGCCAAATTCACTTGGCAACTTCGAACTAGAACCATCATTCTAGTCCTATCTGTACCGATAACAAAAAAAAAAAAAATCAAAGGATTCCACTACTCTCAAGGAAAAATAATTCAGGGTCAAGCGCAAAGGTACAAGAACAAGCCCAGGGGACACTAAAACTCCAATAACCTACTAATTGGAAAGTGACGTCACCCCACAAGAGCGTGGTCTACAGAAGCCTGGAGTCCAAAACAAGAAAAATCACGCATAGCTGCAGGGCCTGAGACATAATACAGCAGGCAGAACATTCGCCTTCCACAGGGCCAACTACACAAGCTGATCCTGAGCACCACTTGGGGTCATCACTCCTGAGCAGAGCAGAGCAGAGCAGAGCCGGCAGGAATTATTTCCTGAACCCAGACCGGTGTGGCTCCCCCCAAACGAACACGAAACTAAAACCAGAAATTAAAGACAGGCCAAGATCAGGTGACCGGATGACAAAGCAGAATAAGGTGCTTTTGCACACTGCAGACCTTGGCTGCCTCCCTGTTCTGCAGGTCCCCAAGAGCACTGCCAGGTGTGCCCAAAACACTGCCACTAAACACATCCCTGCGAACGCCTGACTCAAATCCCGAGCTGATGGGGGCCCTTCAGAGTGCCCAAGAGAGGTTAGGAACACGGTAGATGTTTATTGCTCCGCCCAGTCAAAACATATTAAATGTTTCAATTTTTCAAGTTTGAATTTAGTTATCATCTCAAGATGTTAAAAAAAAAAAAAACAATCTGACCCACTGTTTCCCTCTCTCTTTTAGAAAAAAATGTCGTGATGTACCAGAACTACGCAGAATCCTCTCTGCTATCCCATTTTGATGACGCTCTTATTTCTCCTTAGAAAGTCTTGACGAAATGCACACAGTACTAAACCCACACAACAGGAAAGCAATAAACTGAGTTTCAAGCCTTTTTTTTTGATAGACCTAGGCTCTTACAAAGTATTTTTCTACAAGTTTTCATCCCTTATCTAATCTACCACATTAATAGGCTATGGGTAGGAATGACTTCCAATTAATCTTTAGAGATCTAGCATGCTTAATATTTTTGCAAATTTGAAGTACTGCCCCAAGAACCCGGCCAAAAGCTCCTCTCAGATTTTGCCGTGAGCCCTTCTGTTTCACCGCAAGTCTTTGGGAAGAGCACAGGCACTGCATGTATGAGGCCCTGGGCAACTGAGACCCCCAGCACTGAAAAATAAAACAAGATCTATACATACTTCTTTCACTATCACAATCACTATCACCCCATTGTTCATCGATTTGCTCGAGGGCACCAGTAAGTCTCCATTCGTCCCTGTCATGTGCTAGTGTAGCTGATGGCATATGGGGGGGGGGGGGGGCTCTCTCAGGGTCAGGGGGCTGAGGACCACCATTGTTCCTGTTTTGGGCCTATCGAGTATGCCACGGGTAGCTTGCCGAGCTCTCCGAGAGGGATGGAGGCTTTGGGGGCAGCCTCGAATCCCCTTTACAGGTGTTCCCAGTCAGGCATATGTGCGGGCAAGATACTCTTGGTAGCCTGCCGGGTTCTCTGAGAGCAAGAATTAGACAGTAAGAGGTCGTAGTATAGTAGTATACATACTTCTATAAGTCGTACGTGTGGGTATATACCATCGTGTCTGACTTTGTGCTTCTGTAGTTAATGAAGTAAATCTCGGTGATTTTTTATACTTTGTACGTGGACACCAGTCCTGCTGAAAACTGAACCATCAGCTCCTTGTTATAAACTGTCTAGGGCTAAATTAAAATAGCTGTAAGGGGAAGAGGGTGGCAAAATAAAAGGATCAGAGTAAACCCTAAAGGAAATGAGAGCAAATTATGTAAATCAAAGGTGTTTTTTTTTTGGTTATGGTAACACTTTCTAAATGAGTCCCCTTTAAACAGGTGTACTGGCTTACAAACAGAACACTTGTGAAACAAATACTTGGTGTTAAACAACGAAAGGGCTCAGTCTTTGGACCTCTACGTCTGTAACGTGCTTTCTCTACGTCTAACGTGGTTTCATTCCAGGTCTGTATTTTGGAGACCACGATACGCCACGTGGATTACAGATGGGAAAATGATGGGCAATTAGTAAAAGCGAATGAAGGAATCGAAACCAGAGTATCTCAAGTGACATCGTACAGCCCTTTTTTAGGTAAAACAAGAAAAATGTAAAGCTGAGAACTTGTGAAATAATCTTTATTGGCTAAACATTACTTAAGATAAAAAAAAATACGAGGGGCTGGAGCTATAGCACAGCAGGTAGGGAGTTTGCCTTGCATGCGGCTGACCCGGGTTCGATCCCCAGCATCCCATAGGGTCCCCCGAGCACCGCCAGGAGTAATTCCTGAGTGCATGAACCAGGAGTAACTCCTGTGCATCACGGGGTGTGACCCAAAAAGCAAAAACAAACAAACAAAAACAAAAAAACAAGATAAGAAATATGGAGACTGCCACAAAGAAAAACATCTTTGAACTTATTTTGAAAAGTCAGTCATAGAGGCATCATTGAAATGGGACCATTAAAAAGACAAAGGCAGGGTCAAGAGAGAAAGTATAGGGATTGAGGTACTTGTCCTCTGAACCAGCAGACCCCCGATTCAATCCCAAACTCCTCGGGTCACCGCCAAGAGTGATCCCTACCCAAGTAAGCCAAGAGTAACCTCAGAACACAACCAGGTGTGTGGCCACAAAACCAACAAGAAAAGGCAAAGGCAGTGTGCTTGGCAGGTTGTGTCTAGCATTATAATTAGATGCGAATGCAGATCAGAACTCACCTCTACTTTTGGAACAATGAATCAATGCTTCCACGCAAAATTTTTTTCAAATAAGGGGTCACAACCTGCTCTGCTGGGGAAGACGGGATAATGCCATGCCCAGGCCTCCCCGCTGGGGCTGCCTGAGTCTCTCGGAACTATCAGACCTTTGAAATTACATGTGGAAACAACAAACAATTTAAAAATCTAAGATTGTGTTGAACTGAACACCTTGTCACTGTCACTGTCCTCCCGTTGCTCATCGATTGTCTCGAGCGGGCCCAGTAACGTCTCCATTGTGAGCACACAGAATTATGTATTTTTTTTCTCATCCAAATATGTGAAAATCCATTTACTTAAAAAAAAAAATGGAATCGTATTTTTAAACTTGAGCTTTAATAAGTTTTTTGGAGATGATCATGGAGAACCTCCTCCACTTACAAATATCCCAACATTCCGGTGAGCCTAAATGTTTGTCCAAAAGAGCCCCAGAATCATGTCATGAATCACATTTCCAGCCACAGAGGAGGGAGAACATACAACTCCCATCCCAGAAACTTCAAAAGAAAGGGACAGAGCTTAAATGAAAAGGGCAGAGTCCATCTATAGTGGCCCAAAGCTCAAGGAAATGATCTTGGGAAAGACAAACCTACTTGACCACAATCTAACAATGGGTCAGTGACTACGGTCTAAAATTGGGGCGGCTGAACCGAGAGTCTAAGAACTAGTCTTACAAAGCTGCCCAAAAACCAACACACAAATACATGAGTGTACTTCTACGAAAGAAAAACATGTGACGCTGCCTACCACATCCCAAATCCCCATTTTCAAAAATCTAGACTACAAAGCCTTGCACCAAGCCGAGTAAGATCCTAGTTGAAGCAGTCTAAGAGCTTTGAATGAAAAACCCCAAAATGACATTCCACCCTTTTTTTCTTTTTCCCCCTGAAACAATTCCTTCCGAGTTTGGTGTATTTTCTGGTTTGGGTTTCTAGACCACGCCCGGTGGTGCTCAGGAGGGTCTTAAGGTGGTGCCCCGGAATGAGCCCAGGCTTGGAGCTGTATCAGGCAAGTGCCAGGCCACAATGTCAGGTCACAAAGAGCCGGTTTCGAAGGGAAGATGCTCCACACTTTGACAAAGACCAGCCTGACAAGAAGGAGCTTTAAAAACCGCCACCTAAGGGGGAATCATCATCTCAATAAAACGCTTGGCGGTCCCTGGGAAAGATACATTGAACGTCAGCGGTTATTATGTTGCAAGGCGCTGACCTCAGGGGGCGGGGGGGGGGGGGGGGGGGGCGGGGGAGAGGCGCCCACACCGGGGCCCCCGCATCCCTGCTGGGTCCTGCTTCCCCGGTGGGCACTCGTCCTGCTCCCCTCCATTCATCCCCCCCAGGAGGACTCCAGTCCCCTCGCCAGACAGCCCCGAGGACCAGCCGTGCGTGGGAGACGCGTGGAGAGGCTCGGGGAGGATGCGCGCGGGGTGGCCGCTTTCTCTGCTTCCTTCCCCCCGGGGTCGGGCCCCTCGTCCCGGGGCTGGGGAGACCCGACCCCCGACCCCCCGCGGGACCCCCGCAGGACCCCCCAGGCGGGACCCCCGGCCGGCCGCGCGCGCTACTCACACTCACGAACTGAATGTCATCCTCGGCGTCCTCCGCGCTCGGCGTCGCCGCGGGGGCGGATCCCATCACCTGCGGGACAGGCCACGCGGCTCGGGGGGCGCTCGGGGGGCCGAGCCGCGACCCCCAGACCCGCCCCCGCCGCCCCCCGCGCCCCGCACCCGGCCCCAGGCCCGGCCTCGCCCGAGCCCCCCCACCCGCACACCCGGTCCTCGGCCCCCCGACCCCCGCCCTCGGCCGCCCCGCGGGCCACCGGGACCCCCGACCCCCGCCGGGACCACCCCCCCCCGCCCCCCCGCTCACCTCGGACCCGGGCTCGCCCATCTCCCCGCCGGCCGCGCCGCGCCGCGCCCCGCCCTGCGCTCCCGCCGCCGACGCAACCGCGGGCGGAGCCCCGCACGCGCCGGCCCCGCACGCACGTCGCCCCCCGCCCGCGCGCCGCCGCGGGGCACGCCGGGACCCCCGCCCCCGGGGGAGGAGCCGGGCCGGGCCCCGCGCAGGCGCCCTCGGGACCCGGGAGGGGCGGGGAGGACAGGGGGCGCGGGGGAGGGGCTTCGTCCTCCCCCCTCCCCCGCGCTCAGCACCCCGGGGGGCGCCGGGTGGTCGCGAGGGCCGAGGCGCGCTGATCTCGGGGCCAGCCCGGGCGATAAGACGGACAGCGGTTTCCCTTCCACTCCCACCCACCCCCGGCCCTGCCCGGAGAGTGGGAGGAGGAGGAGGAGGAGGGGGTGGGCCTGGACTCGGGTGCAGAGGGTCGTCCCCCCCCCCCCGTCGCTCCCGCTCCCCCCCACCCGACCTTTATCAGATGTGACCGGGGACGGGGGTAACCCCCCCCCCCTTAACGGTTGGACCAAAAGAAACGGGCCAGACCCGAGTCAGGATTTGGTTTTTTGTTGTTTTTTTTTTCTTCTGGTCACACCCAGCGATGCTCAGGGGTCACTCCTGGCTCATGCACTCAGGAACTCCTCCTGGCGGTGCTCAGGGGACCCTAATGGGATGCTGGGAATCGAACCCGGGTCTGCCGCGTGCAAGACAAACGCCCTCCCCCGCAGTGCTATCTGCTCCAGCCCCTGGGGCCTGAGTCGGGGTTTGAGTGGAAGGAGACCCCAGGCTTATGTATGTGCCAAAATCTGGGTATAAAATGTACCTTGATTTTGAGACTTGGGGGGTCACAGCCCGCAGTGCCCAGGGCTTACTCACTCCTGGCTTGAGGCTCAGGAGTCCCTCCTGGGGGACCCAATACGGGGCAGCTACATGCCCACCCGCTGTCCTATCACTCCGGCCCCCTAAAATGTCCTTTTAAAGGGTTTCCAGATGTTACCTTGGTCAAATAAAACTGTTCACCTTTTCTCAGTGCGGAAACTTGAAGCACCCTACACCCACAGCCCATATCTGCTCACCTAGTTTCAAGTTTTTGCTGACAATGCTTTTTCCAGCCCCTCCAAAATTAAAAAAAAAAAATTTTTAAAGGCCTTAGTTTTACACAATAGCTGTCTACAGTTTTAAAAAAATTTTTTAAACCAATTTGAATTGGAAAACTCATATTATACATGCCTGTTTTAGCTTCGATTGTTGCAAATCGATCATTCGATTCCCTGTCATTCTTGACGTCTCGCTGATCAAGTACAAATTCTTGAAAGTGTTTATGCTTCCGTGACAGTTCTGCTTAGGAAGTTTGAGACACACAGACCCAGTGAAAATGGCGATCTACCTGTTCCTGAAGAGCTGTGACATGAAGTATTTGGTGTTTTGGGATTTTGGGGTTTTTTTTTTTTTTTGGAGGGGGGGTAAGGTTGCTTTTATTCTGGAGACAAGGGACACATCTCAAGCCATTCAGGGTTTATTCCAGGCTCTGCCCTCAGGGCTCACTCTTGGCAGGTTCTGGGGCACCAGGTCAGTCGTGGGCAAGGCAAGCACCTTTTCCCCACAGTCTATCTTTCTGACCCCTGTCATGAAGTGTTTGTAAAAGCGGCACCTCGCACAGGTTATCAAGGACTCTCCGGGTTGGGCCCAGTTCAGCCCTACTAGGTCTGAAAGAAAGGCTTGGTCTCATCAAGGCTTGTATTTTAAATCATCCTGGGGCTGGAGAGTTCGTCAAGGTCATGGTCCTCCCGTTGTTCATCGATTTGCTCGAGCGGACCCAGTAACGTCTCCATCGTGAGACTTGTTCTTACTGTGTTTAGCATATCGAGTACATCACGGGGAGCTTGCCAGGCTTTGCCGTGAGGGCGAGATACTCTCGGTCGCTTGCTGGGATCTCCGAGAGGGGTGGAGGAATCGAACCTGGCTCGGCCAGGCCGGCTGCGTGCAAGGCAAACACCCTACAGCTGAAGCTCCTGAGTCCCTCGCACCCTGCCAAACCAGGTTTGATCCCTGGCACTCCGGGTTCCCCAATCCTTGCCTGGAATAACTCCTGAACACCGCCAGCTGTGGCCCCAAAGCAAACCCCAAATTCCTGCCTTGCTAATGGCTGGCGTCCCTCTCCATCCTTGCCACCACAGGGTCCCCAGAGCACAGCCCGGGTGGCCTGGGAAACCGGGGTTCCACAGGGCCAGAGCAGAGCTGCTGGCTTGGGCCCTTCTGTTGAAAAGCCGGCAGCCAGCCCAGAGGCAAAACAGCTGGGAGGGGACACGGGCATCTTCCAAGCACCACATGGGAAGACCAATTTTTCAAATTTGATTGAAATTAAAAGTTCGAGTGATCCCCATATTTTTTGGTGAGTTCTGTAAAGTTCTAACCGTTCGTAGGTGGGATTTAAGAGGTAAAACTCTGGGGCGAAGGAAGCCTGTGACTAGAGTTTAAAACATGCAAAGCTCATCCATCCAGTTGCCTTTTGGAGGGTTTAGACTGAAAACAGAATTAAAGCTGCAGGAAAGCGTCAGGCAAAGGATCATTTATCACAGACCTGTTAGTGATAAGAAAAATGGAGACGCAGGGCTGGAGCTGGGGGGGGGGGGGGGGGGCGGTTGGTTGCCTTGAACACGGAAGTCCCATGTTCGATTCCCGGCATCCCATATGGTCCCCTGAGCACCACCAGGAGTAACTCCTGAGTGCAGAGCCAGGAGTAACTCCTGCGCATCTCTGGGTGTGACCCAAAAAGCCAAAAAAGAAAGAAAGAAAGAAAGAAAGAAAAATAAAAATGAAGGTGCATTTAAATGTCTAATGATAAGGGAATATAAATAGCTGATTTTTTTTTTTTTTTTTTTTTTTTTTTTTGCTTTTTGGGTCACACCAGGCGATGCGCAGGAGTTACTCCTGGCTCTGCACTCAGGAATGACCCCTGGCGGTGGTGCTCAGGGGACCATATGGGATGCTGGGAATCGAACCTGGGTCGGCCGCGTGCAAGGAAAACGCCCTACCTGCTGTGCTATCGCTCCAGCCCCTAAATAGCTGATTTTTTTCTTTTTCCAGTCCAAACCCGGTGGTGCTCAGAGCTTCCTCCGGGCTCTGCGCTCAAGGTTCACCTCCTTGCAAAGTTCAGGGGACCATATGTGGTGCCATGGTTCAAACCCCATTCAGCTGGGAACAAGGCAAACACTATTTCTCCAGCCCCAAGTATAGCTAAACCTCAGCGTGTACTCTATTTCCATGATATTTAGCCAAACATAGACTTACCTATGTTTATTTTCAGGGGGAAAGCGACTAGAGACACCTGGTTCTGATCAAGGCTTACTCTCTGCTCAGGGATCACCCTCGCTGGGTTTCACGGGGCCATAGGTGTTGCCAAGTATTGGACTGCGTCAGACGTGTGCAAGAACCTTCACCTTGTCCTATCTCTTCGGCCCAGTTACACGTCTGAAAGTGTTTCTTTCAAAGACGCAAGATTATGTAGTATGGCCAGAATCATGTGACTCCACCAATCAAGCCAAGCCTACAGTAGGATATTTACTAAAATAGTCATTTTCTCTGCTCATCTGGATTATGTGTTGAGTAAGAAAACCCACAGAATTCCACCAACAGAAGCGATAGAATCACGCCTGTAGTTCCCACAGGTTTATTTAGTCTGTTTATTTCGCTGGATATAGCAACGTACACATAACGGCAAAGCACTGGAATCCCAATCTTGGAAAGTTAAGATCTAGCTAATTAGCTCATTTTAAGGCCAGTCCACGAAGTAGGAAAGTGGTTAGAATGGCAAGAAGCAGATTGTTCACCGATTCGTTCAGAGTTCAAAACAGAGGCTTTTAAGTATGTGTAAATGTTTGTGTATCATAATTTTTGCTTTATGAATTAAGATCCTGGAGTGAGAGCCGATTTGGAGGCTTAATAATCCCTCTAGTTCTCTTATATTTTTGTCCTAAGCAACATCATTAGTAAATTTACTCACCTACATTCACTCTTATTGTTTCAACTTTTAACAAAGACATACAGCTTTAGTTTACTTTCGTCCATTTTCTATTGACTTATTTTGCTAGTTTCGAAGAATATCTATAGAACCATATTTGAGAGACCACATCCAGAAGTCCTAAGGACTTACTCTTTGCACTGCACTCAGGGATCACTCCTTGCACTGTAGAGGGTGCCAGGGATCAAACCCAAGGTGGCTGGGTGCCAGGCCAGGTGCCCTACCCACTTCACTATCTCTCCGGCCCCTGTAAAAGTTCTTTAAGATACAGGCCATCTCCCCTTCAAGTAAGATGCATTTGTCCTTATGTGTAAACCGTGTTTAATAATTTGGGTATTCACATTCTCAGTAGTTTGCAAAGCTTACCCACCCCCTTACTAGAAATATTTGGAGAATTTCTGTTCCCTCTATTTGCAACACAGTAATAATTCTCTGCAGAGCAAGGTCACTGAAATGACACTTCTGATGGGTCAACTTGTCATGGATCAAAAGAGCTTTATAAAAAATACCATTGTATGACTGAACCCCAATCACAAACTATTTTGTAACTGTATATCTCACTGATTCAATTTTTAAAATTATTTTTAAAAAATAAAGATCTGGAGTGATAGCACAGCTGGTAGGGCGTTTGCCTTGTACGAGGCTGACCGGATTCGATTCCCAGCATCCCATAGGGTCCCCCGAGCACCGCCAGGGGTAATTCCTGAGTGCAGAGCCAGGAGTAGCCCCCGTGCATCGCCGGGTGTGACCCAAAAAGCAAAATAAAATGAAATAGAATAAAGATCTAAAGATACAAAAATACATACCAGGAGCAACCAAAAGTATCGGAACTACTTTATAGTCATTAAAGGAAGAAGTCTACTGAACAGTATAAGGGAAAGTTTAATTATAACAACAAGAATTGAGATCTATTTTTGATAACATTGGAATACCATTAAAGTCTATTTACTGAAGAGCTATGATAAACTAAAGGTAAATACAAGTATTGTGTTTCTT